CCCCAAAACCCCAAAACCCCAAAACCCCAAAACCCCACAAAATTATAACTATTTTATAAAATATACCTAATGGAAAGCCATTCGCGTGATTCCGAGTTTAGTTCGGAGGTCGATCACCAAGAATTTGAAGAGAAGATAACGATGTTCCTGGCTGATGAAGAGACAGCTAAAACTAACCCATTAAACACAAGGATACACAACCCTTATCAATATGTTTACCGTAGTGATAGTTACTCTTGTGTTCTGGCAGCTAAACTTTGTCTTTCAAGCTATGTAAAGAAACAACCAAAAATAATAAACCATCTGACGGATAACAAGAAGTTTACAGATAACGAAGACATTCAGATAATAATAACGAAAATCTTGCTCTTTGAAGCCTTGTTACAAGTTGTCATCATCAACTTAAGACATCATGAAACTATGAAGTTCAAAGATGAAGTTGACCCAGAGACTCTTGAAAAGTTCAAGAGTGACACTCTCCTCCAAGAATTAGAGGAGAGTGAAAATTTCAAGACTAAAGAGCAACTTGAAAACCATCTCACCAACATTTCAGAGAAGTTTGGCTATATTAGCAAGGAAATACTCACCAGCTGGATGACTGGCACTGAATTTATTTGAATATCAGCAGTTTACTGAGTCACACAGGCTCTTAAGAGAACTCTCAGTATGGCGAACCTACCTTCTGACTGAGTAAAAGATAGGGAAAATAATGACAAGAAAATATTCATCAGCTTGGCTCACCGAATAGCATGCCTGTTTGATTATCTATATGCTGCATGTCTTGATGATCCATCTGATATTTTATACCAAAATGATCCTGAGAGTGAAGACTTAAAGCTCCTTCTTGACTGATGAAGCTTCTCAATGGTGGAGAATCTACAAGAGCACCTTGAAAATGATAAATAAACGGATGATCGACAAACAGGAACAAATAGCGATTGCATTGAGAAGTTTTAAGCACAAAAGTTCTGTCGGGCAAGCTTTCTCCAGCTTCTCCTGGTCATTCTATTATAAAATTAAGAAACAAAAAGCTAGTGATAACGTTACTTTTCTTGCTTCAATATTTGACAAAGATGAGCTTATCAAAGTTTTTCATCTCATCCAATCAAGCTTTATGGAGAAACCGGAAAGTAAGAAGGACCTACCAAAATGCGAAGTAAAAAGAACAATAACTATTCCTTTCTGACAAGATGATATTCTCAGGATTGATAACTTACTGAGCGAGGATCGGCCAGAGATGATCAAGAATGAATTCGATCTCCCCTTTATTAAATCAAGCGACAGAATTGATCTTTCAACTCACATGAAGATCAGAGTAAACTGAGAATATAATTGGAGTAGAGTCAACTGGAAAAAGGCTCGCCTTGCTGACCCTGACTCTGACTGAATACACTATGATGGTGTCATTTTGTATATACATGGAGGAGGTTTTATAGCAGGATCCTCTGAATTTTCACAATTTTACACCATCAACTATGCGAAAGAAACTGGATACCCAGTATTCTCTTTAGATTATAGGTTAGCTCCTGAGCATAAATTCCCTTGTGCCTTAAACGATTGTTGGCAAGCTTACCTCTGGATTGTGAAATATGCAAAGAAATACTTAAAAATAACATATGATAAAATTATACTAATGGGAGACTCAGTAGGTGGAAACCTTTGTATTGGAGTTACAGCACTGAGCATTATAAAACACTGAAAAATTCCAGATGGTTTGAATCTGATATATCCAATCCTTTCTTTCTCTAAAGTATCTTTTGCTCCATCTGCTTTACTAACTCTAGATGACTTAATGTTAAGTTGAGTCTTTTTAAACACCTGTGGAGATTTTTATGCTGGAAATGATCTGAAATAAAGATCCTCCTTTCCTCCTCTCAGTAAATAAACTCCCTGATAAAACTCTTAGACGATTCCCTCCATGAAGATTTGTTCTCGCTGGTCAAGACCCTTGCAGAGACGAATGCTTAAGATTCATCCTCCGTCTCAGAAAGCAACAAGTTGATGTCAAATGAACTGAATTCACAGATCTCATCAATGGATTTATCGGCAGTGAAAGAGACTCTTATCCAATCCTTGAGTCCAAAAAAGCAATAGGAGTGATAATAGAGTACCTGCAATACCTCTCCAAAGAAGATGATGACTATTAGAACCTATTTTATTTCATATAATTTTTAGCTCATTTCAATGTTCCTCTAATTTTCCGGGGTTTTGGGGTTTTGGGGTTTTGGGGTTTTGGGGTTTTGGGG